GAGAGAAACATAATTAGCTTTTGTTACACTTCTGTACCATAGGCATGTCTTATTTTTGTAAGTTGAAAACCAGTACATTTAACAGTTTCAGTAAAGCAAAGGAAAAATAGCCTTAGAAAATATATTATTGCGGGATTGAATTTATATATTCATCAACAAATATTTGAATGATCCCTACGTATTAAGTGCAAGGGGGTACATAGTAGCAGGACCATAGAAACTCAAAGACCAGTACAAGAAGCCAACGTAAGTCAGTGCCAAAATGCTGTATTGAAGATAAATAAAATGTGCTGAGAAGCTTTTAGTTCACTGAGGAATTTGGGGAATGCTTTACAGAGGAGGTAACATTTAAATTGTGTCTCGAAAGACAAGTCTATGTTTGTGAGGTACAGAAGGGAATTAACCAAGTGAAATTGAACATGAAGTAGTATGGTTCAACCAAAGACCTGAAGGAGAGCTGATAGCCTATTCATGGAACAGGAAGAATTTAGGGATGGCCCAAAAACAAGGTCACAGGGAATGAAGGGAAAGAGAGAGGGGATGAGGTCTGAGAATCAAAGGCAGCTTGGAAATTACAGGTTGGTTTCACTTTTTGGAAGGTGAGGTATGTTGCTTTGGACTTACCAACAATGGGGAGTCACTTAAGGGTTTTAAAGGGAATGTCCTAAGATCTGTGTTTCAGAAAAGAGTCTCTGGTATCTGTGTGAAGGTTTATGGAGTACTACGTGTGTACATGAACAGAGCAAGCTACATGTAGCTTGGGTCATGTAGACAGGGCATCTCAATAAACAATAATGAGGCAAGTAATGATAACATCCAACATTTATTGATTACTCTGTATCACAGACTGTTTTCAGCACTCCACATTTACAGACTCATTAATTCCTCACATTTTATAGATGAGAAAACTGAGGAACTGGTTGACTACCTGGTCCAAAGTCACAGAATTAATAAATGGCCAAGCTAGGATTAGAACCCAACTTGGCACCATCTGAGGCAAGTTAAATAATCATTTCCTGAACAAATATTTGTTTAGCTCTCTCTCTCTGTGCCAAGTAGTGCGAAAGGTGTTAGGGATACTGAACTTGCTTTGTTAAGAACTCGTCCATGGTCTAATGCCCTGCTGGCAGATGGATTGATTGGAAGTGGCTGACTGGTGGGTTGCAATGAAAAAGACTCTGACTCTCCATTCACATTCCAGGGAGAGTTCGGTGATCGATTAGATACGTCTGCCACATCCAGGGAAGAAGTATAAGCAACACAAGATTTGTTGACCTCTCTGGGCTCATGTGGATTCCATGAGTGGCACAGAAATGGAAGTAGACAGAGATTGTCCTCTTGAGAGTGGTTGCCTTAGGGGATTTGGGAGCCATGTCTGTATTTCCCAGTGACCTTTAATCAGATTTTGCCCCTCCCCTTGTCCCCCCCCCCCCCCGCCCCACTACACTTCTCCATTTGTCCTTTCTGTTCATTAAGCCAGTTCCCTAGGACTCTAGGTCACTGCTTAGAAATGCAGACTCCAGGATTTATTATTGCTGTCTCCCAGCAAATACATGAAATTCACTTTAGTTCAAACCACCCAAGCATGACAACTCTAATAATGATGTTTTAATAGTGTCTACTGTGTTAAAGTTTTTTGAAATCTGATACCTGACATGAGCTAATATAAGCAATATCACAGGCCCCCATTTTTTTTAATAAAACAGTTCCTTAAACGAGAGACTCAGTTGTACTGTACTGATAAAACCTAATGATTTCTAAAATGACGTTTTACTCCAATATTTATAATTTCATTGTTAACCAAGATTGTATTGTGGTATTTTAGAATATAAGCAATAATGTTCCTCAGTCTAAGTACATTGAATTCACCTCAGAAAATTTAGGTAACTAATTATCCAAACCTACTGAGGCGGTGACTGTTTGCTTCCCATATGATTACACTATAATGTAGGTTTTTTCTGTAATGGAACAAAAATAATCCAAATTCTTTACTCAATATGCTAACTGGCTACTTCAAAAATTGCTGTTAGGTTACTTGCAAATTTTTGTATAATAAGTATTCAGGTTTGGCTTTAAAAGGTTGACATTGTTTGGGGGTAACAGATGGGTGCTTACATGGTTTTAAATGAAACCAAGCCCCAAAGAGGCTCAATAAACAAATGACAATGTTTGGAAAAGAAAGAAGCTTGTTTCCTTTCATAGGGTGCACGGAATTTAACCAACCTGTGTTTATAATTACTGTCTGCTTTAGTTAGTGTGAAAGAATCTACTTGCTACTCACTTATAAATAAACAAAATAGATCTACTTTCCTATTCTGCAGCCGGCTTGTTGGAGTTTATTTTTCTTTTTCTTTCTTTTTTTTTATTGACTACAGACCACTTACTTTATGTCCAAATTATGTTGTTCCATTTTAAACATTCTTCTGGGTTTGGGTTGTTGTTTTTTTTTTTTTTTTTTTAATCCCCCTTTAATTCTTGGCCCTACTTAGAAAGATGACACCTTCTCCCATATTTCAAGTCTTTTTTTTTTAAATCCCCTCCCCATCAAAACTGCAAATTATTAAATTTAAATCATTTGTCCACGTGTGGATGTTTGGTTCGATCCCAAACGTATTTTTTTTTTTTTTTTTTTTGGCAAGCTTAGAGGGAGAGCAAGTTGCTACTACCCGGTTAATTGTAATACAACATCAAATGAATGCTGTCATTTTGGGGCCACGAGAGAACATTGTGTAGCTTATGAAGTCAATTGTTTGGACTTCCAGAACAGGCTACATATTTTTGTATGAGAAATTAATTCTTACCTTTTAAATACACAAAAGCAATGCTGTATAATTTTGTGAAGAACTGTAGAAACCCATTAACTGTTTTGAAATCTTCTCTTGACGATCTTGCTATCAGTAAATTTAGTGCGTTCTTGAATTCTATTGTTAGTTAATCGGAGTAGGTATATTCAGTTAAACTTGGAGTTGGCTTTGCACACTGCTGCTTTTATTTCCCCCCTCAACTTAAGAATTAATTGTACCAACCTAAAGACAGGTCAGAAGGAACAAGATACTGCATTTTCATTTCAATATCATTTAATGTATTTTTTAAAATCGAGTTAACCAAATGCTTTCTTAAAATTATTTTGTTCCTTGACATTAACATCAGACTATTATTTATTATTGAAATCATTCTTCAATGTTAAGACATATTTTTACTAGGGTGTGGGTTTACCTTTTATGAAGATTGCATTAATCCATCACGAAAATTTTAAAACTCAATAAATTCATTTTACCATAAAAGATGTATAAAGCCATAAGCATTTTCCAGATGTGGATGTGGATATAAGTAAAGAAAACTCGTCTGTTCTGAGAGAGGAAAAACTGTTGACATTTCTTTGAAGTGTAATCTCTCTTGTTTATTTGGTTTTTAATAGCTTCCAGCAGTTAGCCACATATTTTTTAAGTGATGTTGCTCATAACCCCCCCCCTTTTTTTAAGTTGCAAGTGGCATTAACTTACTGCCATAAATTTCGAAGCTGAACCTGTAAAGGAAGGAGAACTTCATTGAGATGGGTAATGGAGTAATTGCCAAAAAGTGCAAGGCACCATTTTCCTTAGCAGCTGTTGTAAGAGGGAAACTATGGGCTGGGCAGCCTCAGGGCAGGGAGTCAACTGGCTATTGTTTGAATCCTTAATATTTATTTATGAAAGACAATCTTTAGCTGTTGCATATTTAAATAGCAGCATTTCATTCTTTCTCTGTGTCTCTCATTTGACCATTCATTTCGAACCAAAGGATGAGAAAACTTTCAGATTACCGTTGTGCACGTCCCCTGTATCCCACAGCATAACGTGTGCATGTATGAGCCTAAGCAAGCGCAAATGTACTATAAATGAGGGAAACATTTAGAGTGATAAAAAATCATTAAAATTGACTGAGTGGCTGAAATTCTATGACACTGAAAAATGGAAACTATTTGGAAAGTAAGTGAAAACTTAAAAAAAATATATGTACAAGCTTTTGACATTTCATAATGATTTATATAACAGGCTGCATGAGAATTAATTTGAGATCAGATGCTAACCAACCACACAAAGCAGAGAGCATTCAAGGTAGAGGAATTTATTTATATTTATATTTATATATATATATATAAATTAAGTTTGAGGACCATTTCTCATTCTGTCCAATCAATGTTTTTTAACTATTACTTATAATAATGTGATTCTCCAAAGCTGAGTATGGTGGTCTTTGTATATGTGAGTATATTCGAATGCATGTGTGCTCTGTTGCTATTTGCAAAAATTCTAATGTACATTCGTATGTAGGCTATATTTAAATGCAGCATTTCTCTTTGGTTGGCATTTATTTTTACATGCCCAAGCCAAAAGAAATAGTCCTGAGATTTTAATAAAATGCTGCTAAGGTGATATAATTTTTATTGGCACAAATAAATAGAAATGTGTCCTACAATTTTGAAGAAAATCCTAAGCAACATCAACTTGTTTTATGTTTTTAATGCAGTTCTAAACAATGTGTTGAAATCACCGGTAATAAAATTATTTTAAGGGATGCTCCTTGACCAGCAACTCAAGCTACATAGTAAGATTTGCTCTGTTTTTCATGTGTTTTCCATCAAGGAAGTCTGTGGTTACCTTCCTGATTCTGCCGGACTGGAAAAACATAGCTAATATGGTGTGATCTGGAGAAAGCTTTGATGCAGGGACTTTGCAAATAAACCTCCAGATGCCATATGGTTTACATTCATCTCTCAATTTATTTCCTATAAATGTCTATTGAATATTCCATTGAACCAACACATGTGGACCTAGAGCTGCAAAAGGGAACAGTATATAGAATACTTTGTGGCAGCAAGTGATTATCATATTTCTTTCCTGATATTGCTACCAGCCTTAAATGCACGGTAAATTAGTCAGATGCCAAAGTTCTCAGACTTAGAGCGAAGAACGAAGAAAAAAAATATTTCAAGAGTTATCAAAACAAACACTCGCCTTTATGTTTGGGGTAAAGTATGGTACACTCTGGAACAGGAGTTACTTGTGGAAGCTTGGACTCTGGCTTTAAGTTGCTGCTACTTAAAGACTGAAGTTCTCTGTGCCTCCGATGCAGAAAGAAGTGCCGTTAAGACGCTGCAGGGAGAAAACAAATGTTAGAAGGAGAGTTTACAGGAAGGAGTTTGAAGATCGACACACGTTAGGTCATCCTCTTTGGTCCCATTCTCTTGGGGAATGCAGGCACCCCCTCCCCGGTTTCTGCACCAGGGAGACGGCCAGCATAATTCTTCTTGGTTTGCTTCATGCCTCCCTTTTCCGAAATGAGTTCATCCTCTTCCCTTTTAAGGCCGGCATTTCCAGAGACGGATCTCTTGTCTCATGTTTGAACCAAAATTCCAAAGACAAATTAGGAGTGTGCCCCTTTAAAAATAAATTTGCCGCCTGTAATCCCCCCTCAAAAGCCCAGTCACAAGGAGTAAATCACATTATCAAAACTGCTGCTTGGGATTGTTGTCTCTCTGATTCCATGTGAGCCTACATTAAGCAAGCATATTAAATGAATAAAATTGAGGATTTCTAGATGTCCTTTCCTCTGGTTTCACTGTGATGATGACTTGATTTACTAATTAAGGAAAAGAATTAATTTAAAATGTTGGAGTCTTCCATTCCCTAGGCTTCTGCGGGTACCAGGGTCTATTAAATCGTGTTACTAATTTCCAAATGAGAAAGTTGCCCCTTGCTTGCTTCTCTGGTCCCCAGCACAACAGAGGATTCCAGTTTCTTTTCTGTCTAGAGTCTGCACCTTCCATTAATAATCCCATGGCTTACCTACATCTCTAAGGCCAACCGTTTCTGTGCTAATTGTTGCTCCTTTGGTCCAGCCCTTGCCTACGGACAGGTCCTCATATGAACCCCGCTGACTTGGAGCTTCAGTTAACTGACCTGAGAATCCTACTGCCAGTCGAGATAGTGGAACTCTGGAAATAAAGATCACCCTAAGATTGTAACTTCTGGAATTAACTCTTCAAGAACACATTTCAAGCTGTATCAACCTAGGAAGAGTGAGAAAAGACTCCTAAGCGAGTGGGCGTTCCTGACCAGTAAACATAGTAACTTAGACTTGATTTTTTTTTTTAAAGATTTATTTATTTATTTGAGAAAGAGAGAATGAGAGACAGAGAGCATGAGAGGGAGGAGGGTCAGAGGGAGAAGCAGACTCCCTGCCGAGCAGGGAGCCCGATGAGGGACTCGATCCCGGGGCTCCAGGATCATGACCTGAGCCGAAGGCAGTTGCTTAACCAACTGAACCACCCAGGCGCCCAGCTTAGACTTGATTTTGAGGGTAGTCTGGCAAGTTAAATGGTATTGGCTTCTGGTTATAAAATAGAAGGCACTGAAAGTCACTTTAAGACTGAGAGGTTCTCTTAAGTAACTTGTTTTCTAATAATGGATATAGATAGGCTCAGATGGTTCCAGAGGAAATTGTGATCAAAGAAGTTATTGGTTGTGAAAAGGCAGAAGTTAGACCTCCAAAGTGCAAGGAGTTTCCACTTGGAATCCATGTGCGTGAGTGTGAGTGTGTGTGTGTGTGTGTGAGAGAGAGAGCGCGTATGTGTGTTTTCTAGGTAGGTATATAGAGAGAAAGAAGCCAAAAGCTTTCAAATAGAGGCAGTTTCTCATACTCCTTTCCTATCTAGAGGATTAGGACCTCTAAATGGAGAAAATCTCTCACATGGCTTGGATATTTCCATTTTTCTTGAGAGATTTCACAACCCATTTTAATCAAAGGAAGAAAGATACTCTTTAAAGTATTTTGCCTTGGAAATCATTCATCTTGATCATTTCTTAGAAGAGGGACCTCATTCCAATGTTTCTGACCAAAGAAATTGAAGCCTCTAGGAGCAGATCACACAGTGATTAGAGAGAGATGACACAATACAAATGTGTGGCACACCTGGGTCTCAAATGCGTGTTATGTGAGTGACATTTTGCTAATGACGCTCCAAATACAAAAGTCTGGAGTAATTTAACTACTTTGTCGAGTAGAGCCGAGCTGTCTTCTCTGTATCTACTACATCCTTCTCGATCCCTTTACTTCTAGTACAGACAGGTGAGGATAAAGTTAGAGCTGTTGCCTGGGGAATGGTTCATCGGCCTCAGCCAGTCTGCTCACTGCCAACGTGATGGACACATGAGGGTCATTTCTTCGGTTAGGATTCTTGAATTGCAATCAACAGAAACACACTTTCTAACTCGGGCAGCAAAGGAATGGACAGAGGTTGTTCTGTGTCTCAGGTAATTGAAGGAAAGGAAAGAAAATGCACGATCAGAGGGGCAGATCGTAGGCAGCTGTGGGACCGTAGAACAGTTTGGCCAGTGTTAATCCACTGCTCCCTTCATGAGTTCTGCTATTTTGTTGTGATTTATAACATCCACGAAAATCATCTATCTAATGGGTCAGGTTGAAGAGCAACCTGGACAAGTAGGCTTGTCCTCTTAAACAAGCAAACAAATGCAAGCCTCCTTTCAGATGATACAACTGAATTAAATGGTAAAAACACACACAGCTGTTTGGGTCCAGCGTTACATAACTCTGATTTTGGCTACACCCTTAAGTATCTGTGGGCCGCCAGTTTGTTGTCTGTCAAACTAATTTAGTAACCTAAGAGATCCCTATATTCTAAGGGTGTGTGTGTGTGTGTGTGTGTCTAGTTCAAAGTCTAGCATCTTATATTTGATGAGCACTGTAATAAGAGAGAATTGCACCACACGTAATTTCCAGCTGTATATTTCCACAGGATCTGACAGAGAGCAGGCACTTACACGTTCACTGAAGTGAGTGTCATTACACAAAGTTTGCCATTGGTGCATTAGAATTTAGAACCAATCCACAGTTTGCAAAATCACAGAAAACCTAATTTTCTGATCTGATTCTCCATTGGTGGCAATGATTATTGCCAATAGGAAAAGGATAAGACAGGCTTGCATGTGGGCATGTGTGACCTTTCCAAATGGTCTTACTAGTTGAAGGGTCCCAGCTGCTTCGTAATACTCTTAAATATTAAAAACTGTTTAAAAATACCTTCTTCATGAACTCAAAATACTAAAGTCAAGTGTATATGGTCTGCATCTTGTCAGTCAAGGACAAGCTTAGTTGGAAAAGAGGCCTTCCAAATATCCCACTACCTCAAAATATGCCTCTTTATTTTTTCTAAATCCTTCTCCTGTATCAGCCAGTGAAGCTCTGGAAATAAAGGTGGATTCCCCATGTAAAAAACAGACAGACAAACACACACACACTTTCCATACGTAAATATTTGTTTTGTTTTATCCAGTTTTCTTCCCTCTTAGTGGACGCCATTTTCCTCTGTCCTCTGAAATAATATATGATAGACTACCTGACTATAATTTACTAGGCAAGTGAATGAAAAATGCTTTCATTTACATGATTAACATTTAATTAACATTGTTAATTAACATTGATTTTTTTTTTAAACTTTTTCAGGAGAAGTATAACACTTAACATTGACCTTAACTTTTAAAATAAAAGCTAGGTGTTAAGAAAGCCCAGGAAGTTGATGATTGATAACATGTATTATGATCTAGCTCCATGTGATCTGGGAGGAAGTTATGAAATAATGTGCATTGTACCATATAAAACCCTAATGATGGTTAATGTTAGCTAATTAAGATGAACACTGAATGGAGCCAGCCTGGCTCATAGGGGTATTAACATCCTATTAGAGTCTAGCAAAATATTATTTTAGTCAAAACCGTATATAGTGAATCATGTTAGATTCTCCCTAAGAAACATATTTTTGAATCAAACTAGACATTAAGGCCATATTCTAATCATTGTTGACCAACAGAGATAATATTAAACACCTTCTTGAATTTAATGTTAAAGCATGTGGTTTTTCATTTCGTTTTATTTTAATCGCAAAGTGGTATGCCATACTTACATATTATCACCTAAGAAATCTAGAATATTTGCCACTCCCAATTTTTTCCAATATCAGATATCTCATGATAACCCATCTGAGTTCTTAAAAGTGCATTTAGATAATTCCAAAGAAGCCATTTCTACTGGCCACTGAAAATATCCGCCTTCTATATCTGCAATGGTGTTCATTAATTTTCTTTTTCCCCAAGTACAGTATCTTTGGGATGCATTTAAATTGGCATGTCTGTGTGATCTGAGCAAGTCATTTTGCCTCACTGGGCTTCAATGCCCTTGTGCTTAAGATGAAGCCATTGTACCATAGGGTCGAGATACCTATAGATCTTAAAATATTTCCTTTCACATAAATTTAGGTCACTTATTCAACATTTGAATGTTTAAGCATGGCACCTGGCAGTGGAGGTAAAGACACGAAGGAAGGACTAATGAGAGAGGCAGAAATATTTTAATACCCACAATTTAGTTAGGTGACCTGACATAGGAAGGTGCATTAAAAGGGCAACACTCACTGTGCTTGTCACGAACTAGTCCTCAGATGAAACCCAAAGGCCAATTTGTCTGTGGAAAGGCCAGTTTGTTTATAAATGGAAAATACTTATATAATGTCCATGCACTACTCACTGGCCTATTGGATTATTTCTGTGGCCTCTGAGGGAGGAGTTTGAGAATCAGCACACCTGGGGCTGAGAATTGGCATGTCTGGGGAGGAGGCCTGGCACAGCATGCTGCTCCATGCATGTTTCAGAACCTAGGAATCACTAGCATGGTTCTCAGGCAAGATGTGTCAATAGTTAAAGCGTTGGACAGAACAGTATTTGAAACACTTATTCTATCGAAGGCAAGCAAAGCTACACAGTGGAGTCCAGCTTCTGTGTGGAATACTCAGGTTAGAAGCATTAGTTTGCTGAGACCGTCTAATACCTTCTACGTGGGATCCTGGCCCTCAGGCACTCTCCTGTGTGGTATAGGAAGGCCCTTTATTGGCACAGAAGGAGGGATGCTGACCTGTAGCCCGTTCCCACTGCCCGCCCCACCCCGCCTTCTGTGGGGCCCAGGACCCAGGCACACAGCCACTTAGACGTTTTGTCTGGTCACTGCTCTGTACCCAGTGTCAAGAGCACTGTTCCCACAGTAGAAACTCAATTATGTGTTGAATGAATAAATAAATACATGCACTTTTGCATGGGAAGTCGTTGATGGTTCCATTTATTTCTAAATACCGTAGATGCACAAGAAATTTTTATTGAGTTGAAATAAAATGCGTGTAATGATGCCACTAATATATTTACCTCTCCCGTGGTAAATTCTCTGAAGGAAGATACGCCATCCATTTTCGTTTTACATTGCTGTGGAGAAGTGGTGAGGAGAGAAAGGAATTAAAATGGAATATTAATTACATTCTGTTGAAATTTAAATATATGCTGTGTAAAACCAACAAGCTCCTGTGGAAGGGTAAGTACTGTATTGTCGGACCTGTGGTGATGGGTGGCTAGAGGAAGGGATGGGCTGGGGTTTGTCTGCTCATTTTACTTTAGATTAGAGTCGGCCTAAGCCGAATACGGTCAGGAGATCAAATTGACCTGGTCAATGCAATATTTTTATTTTAAACTAGTTGCTATCATTTTTAATGGGAAGACTTCTCAAAATATGAATTTCTGACTTCACGTCAGTGCAGGGAACAACAAACCCAAATTCTTTTTTTTTTTTAAGATTTTATTTATTTGAGAGAGAGCACAAGCAGGGAGGAGAGGCAGAGGGAGAAACAGACTCCCCGCTGAGCAAGGAGCCTGATGCAGGGCTCGGTCACAGGACCCGAGAATCATGACCTGAGCCGAAGGCAGACGCTTAACTGACTGAACCACCCAGGTGCCCCAACAAACCCAAATTCTTACTGGGCCTCAATAGGAGCTGTGTCAGAAAGACAGGGCTCAACCAGGTTCTCTGCCCTCAGTTCAAGGTCAGCCCCATTCCTTCTGGCATTTCTGTTCAGAAATCTGCTTTAGAGGATCCTGTACTACTAGAATTTTTTTTTCCCCCAAGTGGCACCTACTATCTTTCCAATTCATATGAGTGAGGAATTTAAAAACTGAATTTCCAGGCACATAAGAAAACAAATAATTCTGCCTCAAGCAATCAATAAAACAATATGCACAGCATAATTCAGTTTTAAAGTATATAGATATAAGAATATATGCATCAATTTTATATATGTATATAAAAGTAGAAAAAAGACTGGAAGGATATATTCCAGAATATTAACAGTAGCCACAGTGATTGTCTCCAAGCAATGAGATTTCAGATGGGTTGGGTTGGGTTTGGTTTGGTTTGGTTTTGTCTGTTTTATTCTAACATTTCCTTTCCCTGCTTCTCGGTCTTTTCTAAATTTTACACAATGAACAATGAGTTATCTTCTTGATAGGCAGAAAATTTTTCTATTGAATTTTGACATAACTGTGGTTCTAATTTTCCACCATTTTCCTGCCTCCTTTGTAAGGAGGCTCCGGCCCACATCTCTTTGTAAGATCTGCCATCTCTGTGTTTACCTGCGGGCGGCAGGCACCCAGCTCTGCGTGTTTGTTTTTCTCTTCTCTGTACATACTGGCCTTTCCACTGCTCACATCCTGGGGTGGCTCACGTTGGAGTGACTGACAGTGAATTAAAATTAAAAACACCAGTTGGCATTAAAGGTCACTGCTTTATTAGAATTATTCATTCAAATACAATTAACTTACCCCAGCTCTGGGGAGAAAGGAAGCGTTTACACCAGGGAGAAGGAAGGATCTAAGGGTTCTCCATTTATAGTCTTTCTCCCATTTGAATTTTTTTTCCCCCAACAACTTTATTGACATGACAGGCAGCTTGAAACAAAGGAAGGGCAAAGAGTGGGAAGGTGTTTCCTTTGATATATATGAGGTAGGGTTAACTTCCTTATTTTGAACACAGAATGAGATTTGGGACAAGTGGGTTCTTAGAAAACCTTGCCCACATAACACAGAAGGTAAAGATTGTATCACTTTTTTATCCTTGTAGGAGAGAAGCACATTGAGGGACCATGACTCACCACTAGTGCGGCCCCGTTCAGCGCCCACACGAGGGGGCACTCTCATTTTTGGATCAAGGCTACCTTTGAAATTCTAATAAAATCTATGAACATTGCAGCACAAATATATGCACATAAAACATGGCAAACAAATTCATGAGGTCTCTACTGGAATCCTTCCTAGAATTAAGAAACCCTGCTCCAGATTAAGAACTCCCATCCTCATTCATTCATTCATTCATTCATTCATTCAGCTTTGGAGTCAGACAACCTGAGCTTTAAATCCTGACATGACCCAGGGTGGGTGATTTAACCATTTTAGGGCTATATCCTTATTTCTGAAAGGGAATATGGTGCCCGTCCAATGACTGATTTAGGGATTAAATTGGAGGGAATTTGTAACACTCTAATTGCATACTTCAAAGAATATATGGAAGTTTTGATAACTATTACATGCTATTATTTATTACCTGTAGTATGGAAGTTGTGTTAAGAGTTGGGAAGAAAAGATAAAAAAAGGAAAATCATGATCCATGCCTTCAAGGAGCATAGGGAAAAGAAAGTGTTTCTCAAGGAAAAGGGAAAGCACAAAGAAGGCAACCCAGGGCAGTACGAAATCTACAGAAACAAAAAGTAGGCTAGTGGTAATGGAAATCTGGGGCTGGGGGTGGGTGGGTGGGAAAGAAGAATGACTGTTAATGGGCATGAAGGTTCTTTTTGGTGTGATAGAAATGGTCTAGGTTTGCCTTGGGTGTTACATGCACAGCTCTATAAATTGACTATCATTGAATTATACATTTCAACGGGGAATTTTATAGTAGGATATAAAAATACCTCAATAAGCTGTTAAAAATATAGGATGGCATGATAGTTGTAGATGTAGGTATATGCTAAGGGCTATGGTTGCTACAAAGGAAGGAGTGACCCCTTGGTACAGAGGGATGATTCTCAGAGGAAGGCTTGCTGAGTTGAGTCCTGAAAGATAAGTAGCATTTGGCAGGGTGGATGGTAACACATTCTAAGCAGAGAAAGCAAAAATCAAGTCCCTCAGGCATGTAGGATCAAGTAATTTTCTGAATCAAAATAGATATCTTGACTACACTTAACATCCAAAATATTGCCTTCTGTTTATATAATACAGAATGCTCATTTTGCTAAAATAATGTTTCTCCTTCCCAACTCTGTCCTAATGTATGCTTGACCCAAAGGAAGTAAGGTAGATCCGAATTTGTAGATGCGCCCTTACACACAAGCCACTAGAAGATAGCCTTGAAATCTGCTTATCCAGTTGTCTTAAATTGAAAATAAGGAAACCCAGACTAGAGCAGTGACTCTGTAAGGTTTTGACCACACCCGACTTAAGCAATTAAATTAAAAAATTGTTTTTAATAACAATCAAGCAAAAAAACATAGCCATGGCCCCCACTCATCAGGGCCCACTAGGATTTTTCTCTGTGTGTACATGTGGGACAGGGAGAGGCTTTGTAGCCCAGGATCTCAAATATTAACTTAGTCCTCAAACTCAAGTTATAGTTTCTTTATGTGGTAATTTCAGCTCATGAAAACCAGGTTTTGGTCACGCTCATTCACTTCTTACTAGGTTACAAGCATTGTAACAACCTGCATAAGAAAGATATAGGTGTTGAATTTGCATGTCATTTATCCAAAAGAATCAAAGAAAATACCATCCCAGGAGTGCTTTGGACTATATCCTAGAAATCATTGATGGGAAAAGCCAAGTGGCTGATATTAATTGCTCAGTAGGTATGTGGGAGAAGCAGGCTTCCAACAAAGTTGTGTCAACCAGGCCAGGTGTCTCAGGACTATACTGGAAAATTATTTAATACTCCAGGATACAAACACTTCTTAACTAGGCCATCAAAGTCAGCAAAATACATCTTTAAACACAATGCACGGAGTTGATACGGACAGTAAGTCTATTCAAAGAAAGTAAAGTTTGGAAAATAGATAAAGTATGTGTCGGAGACAGTGTAGGCAATCCACCTACACAAAGCCCAAAGTTTGTGTGTTGAGTTTGTGTAATGTGTTTCAGAAGCTTGGTTTTCAAGTTACTATTCCTGAATATCTAATTTTATTCTTTGGAAGAAAGATCTCCAAAGGGATGTAATTCCCAGAGCTAAATGCGCCCTCATACTCCTGAAGACTCATAAAATGACAGTCCTTATTGGTTCCACACGTGGCTTGGAAATAACGCTTAATCATCATCACCCCATTTTCCTTGGGAGTTTTTGTTTTGTTTTGTTTGAAAGCTTTTCCTGTTTCTTTCTGGGTTTAGACCATAAGTTCACCAGAGAAATAGACTTCCTATATAATTACAAATAATCAGAAAGCAGTGTGTGTTTTACTTTCTCTTAGAATGAAGCACTGCAGTCAGGTCAAGACTGGTGTCAAATAAACAACTTTACTGTTTTGAATTTTTTAAAGGCTGAGGCTCCAGATAAAACAACTGCCTCTTGCACACAATATTCCCTGTGATCACATGTCTTGATTGATGACAAGTCAAAACACACTTTGTTTACTCAGCTTTAAAGTGAATGTGGTGGTCAGGGTTTTGTGTGGCTCTGAATGTTATTAGATAAATAAGGTCCATAAACACAGTAAAGGTAGAGGTCTCTTTTCCAAACAATGGAGTGCTTCCTTTCCATACCTTTCAGGCTCAACTTTAAAGAGGAAATGCATTACCAGTGTTCCCACTCAAAAGGCTTGGGTTTCTTCATTTTAAGACTTTTCAAAGTAGTCATTAACATATACTTGTTCATTTTATGTGGTCTAAGGCAGGGTTTCTCAACCTCACAGCACTGTTGACACTTTGGGCTGGTTGTTCTTTGTTGTGGGGGCAATCCTGTGCATTGTAGAATTTTAGCAGCATCCATGGCCTCCACACACTAGATGCCAGTAGAACCCCCTAAGCTGTGACAACCAAAAGTGTCTCCAGACATTGCCAAATGTCCTTTGAGGGGCAAAATCAACCTCAGTTGTGAGCCATCGGTCTAGTGTTTTGAATATACTAACAAGAAAAGAAATTTTCAGTGCCCACAAAAATAGTATCATATGTAATATTAAAAAACTACAACAAGAACTTAAAATTTTCCAACAGTAATGGCTGTTTTAAACAAATAAAATTTAATTAAGAGATTTTAAAACGGGGGAGCGGGGGGGCGCAATCCTTTGCTAGTATTCCCATCAGTCTGTACTGAGGGGATTGCTATTTTCCAAAAGTGAAATCTAGGATTTTTTTTTTTCTCTTTCTGTGCATAGTCCTATGGTATACTGAAAGAAACAATTGTCTTTAATTTTTCTGTCAGGAAATACTGCACTGACTCAATGGGAAAACACAAGTGAGGTCATTTTTTTTTCTTGCAGACTAAAACATTCCCCTGAGAAATTTCAGTCATTTCCTATGCCACTATAGTTTATCCTTGGCCTTTCCTTAAGCATATTTTAAGAAATTCTTGCATATTCGTCTTCATTGGTGCTTCTGGTGTTATAATGAGGCATTTGTTATAAACATTAGTGACCATAATCAGATTTTAGTTTGAAACCTTATATCGGCAAACTTATGTAGGAAGGAGTAGCCTTGCAGACAGTGTTACTGAAGAAACAGTTAATACAATTTAAATAAAAAGGTTTATGGCTAATTTCAACTCATTTAGTGAATTGTAATTATATGATTACCTATAGAACCTCCATAGTATGGTATTTGAAAGATCAAAGTTAGTGAAAAGTCAGCATGTAATTAGTTTCTTGCTTTGGAGCTTTAGGTAGAATTACTGCAAAGAGGCAAAACTATCATTTTATAGAGACCCTTAGGAGATTTATAATGATGGTAGACAAATATATGCATACAATATCAGTTGGTGTGCTAAAATTTAATTTTCATGAGGCAATGTGGTTGAAGATGATCACAATACATGGGGATGTTCTTATTTTAATATTGGTGGATGTTATTATTAGAGAATCATATCAAAAGATATGTCACCAGGGAGAAAATATCATTTATAAATCACTAATGAGTAGCAAACAGTGTTTAGCTTGGAGGTATGAGGCATTTCTTCACAATGTGCATTTATGATCAAACACAAAAGATCAAGTGCAGAGAGAATAGTAGATCTATATTTTATCTCATTCTGCTAAGGAATATTTTTCTATAGTCAGAGTTTCAGTGCCTAGATTGCTTTTCCTTCTCATCAGAAAAGATTCTGCAATTAGTAGAAAGAGATTTTTATTGTGTCTAATTTGGAATTTAGCCATTAAGATGAAATATAATGGTACAGATTAAGTATTGTATAGATTTTCTTTATGTCCTCAGAGTTACATACAGCTGTGCAACCGCTTTATTGGTGGGAACACAAGAAAATCTCGGGCTGACAACAGACCTCTTCTGGGAGCTTTGTTGAGATTTCTTGCTTTTAAATGTAAAGTAAATTCAAATGGTTCTTAAGCTCTAGAGTGTAGATCTTTGGGCCTTCTGGCGCCCATTTTTCAGTGTATTAGAGTAAATCTAAAACTATTTTCTGGGGAAAATCTTAGTCATTGTCCCAGGTAAATTTAGGCAGGTGACCACCTCTGAGCAGCAATGGAGTTGTCTTCAGGGAAACTATGAGAACTTAAGTGCCTCTTGCTTACTACAAGGATACCAACCCTTGTTACTAAGCTTAACAAATTATTCAAACTTAGG